TGTGTGTGTGTGTGTGTGTGTGTGTGTGTACAGTAGCACAATATGCCTGGGGACTGACGTATAGTTTGGAGAAGCATAGCTGATTAGAAAATGGCCTGCCTAATTTATTTTGATGGATTCCTCAATTTCTAGACCGGGCTTTCCCTTGTCACAAAAGGCACAAATGTGTCACCAACTTTACCGCCACATCTGCCACATTTCGTATTCCGGAATACCCGCTCTCAACACCTTGGACAAAGCTGTACCAATGGACAGGACGCCACCCCATATACCGATGGCCATTCCATCGTACAGACGAAGAGGAAGGGCGCAGAAGACGTGCGCGCGCTACGCTAACGCACCACGAGCACCCAGCGACCAAACCTTCGTTGCGCGAGCTGGATCTGATGTCGAGTCAATGGAACAACAATCTCAGGGTGGACTAGTAGTGGATTGACCGGTTGAGCTCCCGTGACGCTCACCGATTAGAGCGGTGCGCGACCGACGCATGGCCTCCTTCGAGGGGTGTAAGGACTCAGGCGTGCGTCAAGGTCCTGCCGTGTCACGCCAAGTTCCAGAGGGCCTTTGGTACGTCAGGAAAAATCCCGCTCTGCGGCAGAGGGCCCTCGCGCCCCGTGCATCCCACGCGGTGGACCTAGCCTCCTGCATGCAGCACTCGCGGCAAACGTCGTGGTTGTAAGCTTCCCCACTGCGGTCGAGGATGAGCACACGTTCAAGGGAGGACAGGCGATCTCGATCCTCCACCAAGCCGGTGATCAAACTGGATCGGTAACCCGCCTCGTACATGGCATGTGAGGAGTCGACGGACAATGTGAGGTCGCGCACCCTGGGCGGCAGCTGCTTGGCCAGGGTGCGCGTGGGCTTGGTCTGGAGATCCCGAGCTCGAGGGTTCCGCGGACAGGTCCTACGCCCGACGACCAGCTCCGTCGCGATCTTCAACACCTCCAACCGAGCGAGGGCGGGCAGCGAGACGAGAATGTGACGTTCTCGCGGGCATCGCCAGGGCCAACACGCGTCCAACTCGTGATCGGCCAGATCCAGTTCGAGCCGGTGCAGGCCGATCTGGGCCGTTGCGAGTGACACGTCAAGGTCCTGTAGGATGTTTCTCTCACACTGGCAGTCCTGCCACGTGTGACACGTATTCGTCGGCCGCCGCCAGGACAGCGTCCTCAGCTGGGGCATCGAGTGGAGGAGTGAGCGGAGAGCGTCACCCTGGGCCACCACGCCATCGAGAGCGAGCGTGGTCGCCCGAGACCGACAGGGCTGTGCCGCGTGAACGCAGGATGAGCCTTCCTCGGAATTCTCCTCGGGATCGCCCGGACCGTGGCAGATCAGCTGGCCCCCGAACAGCCGGACGTCCTTGACGTGAGGTTGGCAGGCGAGGCACAAGACATCGGCCACGTCCCACTGAACCCGCGGATTCCACGGAGGTGGCGGGGCCCAATGGCGAGACTCGACGGGCAACGCGATCCTGACGCTCTGCAAGTCCGGAATGGGTTCGCGGGTCTGGACGAAGAAACCCATCCAGTACGGAGAAAGACGCAAGTGCTGGAGTCCGGGGAGCGTCGCCAGCATGCGCCAATCGAACCGACGACAGACGGGTACGTCACAGCCCAAGGCATGGTCGCGACCGACCCCGTTGTCCATGAGATCGAGATTGCTCATCAGGAACACACACCGCGTGTGTTGGCGCAGCCGCCGGTGCTCGCCGAGTGTGTGAAGCCAGAGGTGGACCTTGCGTGGACAGGTGACCCGCGCTTCGACCGCCGGGAGGTCGAGATCGGATGTGGGCAATGGGTGCCATCTCTTGCAGTGTGCCCCAGTGTCATTCTGCCGGGTTCTTTTCTCGAACCACATGGTGTGATAGAGCTTAGGGGTGAAGACCGCGTGGAATTTACGCGACACCAAGACCACATGTCGCGCGTTTCGAGCGAACAGGGGGATGTTCTCTAGGACCTCCCCCGGGAGTGAGTCGAGCTGTGCCATGATGCCTCGGGGTCGACGGTGTTGTATATGTTGGTCGAGGGCCGGACCCCGGTGCGGTATATGTTGCCTTTATCCTCGGCTCCCGTTGAGCCAACCCTCCTGGTCTATCAGGGTTGAGACGAGGAAGCGTCCCCCAAACGACTAGAAGTCGATATATGACCGCCCCCGAGCACCCGCTCACGGTGCCAGACCCAGTCATTGGCTCGACAGGATGCGGGACAATCGTTGACGACGGGGACTCGTTTGACTGTAATGGCAGCGTATGTAAGTACATGACCAAATGCCCTCACTAACCATGACATCGCTCTGGTTTGACCGCACGAACTTTCATTGTGGTGCCTTGTCGAACAACAACCACGGCGTGTGATTCGTCCCCGCTGGTGGATCATGTCTTTCCAGACGTGGATGACGAATCATCGTCGACTGAATTCATCTCGGTATCGCCCTCCTCGTTGGACCGGATTTCTGTAAGATGTGCCAGCACTGAGTGCATCAATGTGAGTCAATCATGAATCAGATTCATTGACTCGAGTTATGAGATAAGTCAAACTTCAGTTGACTCATTACATAAGGATTAGATGTGACGAATAAGAGTCTCCTTTAGAGTTACCAAGAATTAATTAGGACTCAAAGATGTAATCGGTACTTGCACTTATTAGTGCTGTCGGCAGGCACTGGCCTACGTACGGACAGGCATTTTGGGCAAAGTGGCACCAGAACTGCCGAATTTATGGAACATTCTAGTAAGGGTCCCAGTAACATCCGTCACGCGGTAGTTCTCGAAAAGAGAATAAGTTAAATCTGCGTTCCACTTGGGTTACGTACAGTAGTTATAGGGTGATATTTGATCCGTTGTCGAAAGCCCATGGGCATACATACTCCGCTAAGGGAAAATTCCCTACCAAAGATACTGTAACAGCAAAGGATCGCATTTTTGCCAGCGTTTGTGTTCTGCACTTCCGATGGCTGGCCACTCAGATAAGTTCTCCCAGTGGAAGTCCTTGCCGGTCTGCTTTTCTCCTTCCCGGATAAATGGATACTAATATCGGTAATACAGTACATATCAGTAGGGCTTGTACCGTATCGTCTCGCCCAAGACTTCCCCCTTGCCATGTGGCCTCGTAGCCAATTGAATTTGGGGCAATAATTCTTCCAGAAGTTCAGGAACCTTGTCGAATACTGTATCAAAGCCGGTTTCTTCCAGATTTTGGAAACGACATTTCGAAGGTGACAGAAGCAATTCGAGTGCTTGGAGTCTCGTAACGGAATTCCGTGAGGACCGTCATCCAACTCTGTCACTATTCCGTCATGTTCATGTGCTCTCTCGAAACAGCACGTATCGACGAAGACATTTTCCCGGGAATCACAGAGCATCTAGCCTGCACGCTGGACATCCTGATCCTCGTCTGTCATCATTTCGGCCTCCCTACGCCTCTCTTCCGGTGGGATTCGCCGTCCAGTACGTTAGGCTGCTGAGACGTCGGCTTCGGCACGTTTACAGCCCAAAAACGCCCTGGGGAAAAATCTCCTCGCCCCAGAGGTATTTCCTCACTAAGACACGACATGTCAGTCACTCTCACCCTTGAACCACAATTCCCTTTGGTGTACTGAAGCCCTCGACCTGTCCTGGATGGATAGTCTATATCCCGACGCGTCAAATTCGAAGCATGAGTTTTTGTGAATCGGAAAGGGACACAAATCTGGCGGTTCCTCGCTCATCTTAACTCATTCTCGTACCGTGGGGAGCGAAAATTCTCCCGACAAATCTGTGCCCATGCCGAGGCCAAAATTCGAGGCGGCATTGCTTTCAATTTGGGCGTTTTTCACTCTGGCATCGAAAAAGCGGCGACACACCGGATCTAGCATCTTGGTCCACCTTGGGCTAAACAGGCACAGAGTCACGAGAGTGTGATTAATGATGCATCTTGAATATTCGAGAAATGCAACCGCTTCTTCGCTATATATGTTCGTCTTTGGACCCAGCTCTTTCTGGTCGGCTTCACCGAGCTCGTGAGATTTACGTCGACTTATCATGAGGGATTTCCTCCAAACCGTTGTCGCTCTCCTGCAAAACCCGTCGGTTTTCATCGGTGTCGGGATCATTCTCCTTCTTTGTCACGTCCTGATGAACATTCCTCAGCTCCTCTTCCGCCTCCTCACCGGGCTAGTCGGATCTTGGCTGATCATGCTTTTCAAAGGCTTCATCTTCAAGCTCATCGTGGCCCGTTCGTGAGGACACGAGCCGAAATATCCCACGGAGGATCGACACCTCGCCCTCGCGCACAAAAGAAGTGAACCCGAAACTCGAAGGCCAGCATCAACCCACATCCATCCTCGGCCAAAACAACTTGCCGCACCAGGCCGAAGTTGCCGTTGCCAGTCTAGAATGGGAATGCTGACTCCTAAAGCGGTCCGGTCGTGTCGCCTTCGAGTTGCCATAGGCCAGAACATGGCCTCTCGGGAGTTACGGCCCAAGGAGGCACCACACCGTTGATCACTTGAGAAAAAAAAATCCTAAAATAACGCGCTTGGAGGTCGATCTGCTTGGATATGAATAAATTTACAGCACAGTATGTGCCCCTTTGAGGATCTATTACAAGAGCAGAGATTTTTCATTTATGCTGTGTTGTGAATATGTGGCTTTCTGCGCCGTGAACCAATAAAGGGCTTTTCGAAAGAACGAAGTAAATAACCCACTGTAGATCATTGAGAAGCAGGCCCTCCGAAGTACGCGCCAAGCCGCACATGATCTGGGCTTGGCGCTGAGTTGACTAATTACGGTCATCTAGTCTTTATAACTTCATGTCCTTACTTTCAATGACACACATCCAATCATAATCACTGAGAATATTGTCTGAGCGCTTCGGAAACTTTTCGACACCCAAACATCTGGCGGGGTCGCTGACGTCGCCTTGCTGTATGGTCCGGCATACCTCGATCACTGTTACCCAGCAACGCGAACTCGGCGCATCAGTTCAATCTCGAGCCCAGAATTTGCCGTTCGGGGAGCAGACAGCATGGAGAATCATATAGCGTCCCTATTCCTTCGCTGGATCAGCAGTGGCTGCATCTCGAGCAGGAAACCCCCTGAAGAGAAGGCACATCCTCCTATCCTTGTTGAATCTCAGCACCTGTTCTCTGTTGGCTCCGGCCCTTTGTATACCAAAGATCCCTTATTAGGCATGGTAAGCTGCTTCCCCAAACCTATCATGGGACAAGATCAATGTGCTCACGCTTTTCTTCTCGAGGAACCTACTAAGAAACCCTTTCTAATCACCATCACGCTCACTGGTGATGACGTACAGCCGGAGCTCCACGACTGCCGCGCGCTACTTGATATAACATCATCGACCAACATGGTGTCTGCAGAGTTTGTACGACGCCATAGCATACCCATTAAAAAGGACGAACCGGGCTTGGGGAATATTCGGAAATCAAACCAACATCAATTCAACGGATACTTCTTTGCCAGTTGGAAGCCCGAAGGAGTTCATGATGCACACCCGGGAATCTTTGCGGTCATGGTGAATCCGCAAACATTGCCACAGAATGTCGAGGTACTGCTGAAATCTATCCAGAACGGGCGTTAATGAGGGGCGCTCGGCCGGTGGTGGCACATCGCATATCGTGTCGCTCAACCGAGGTGAGTGAGGTGGGGGTTCGTGATCCCCTGTTGCTCTCGTCCTCCGACGACTGTGGTGGACAGTACACAAGAAGGCGCCGGCCATGAACTTAGATGCCCGGAGGCACATGGGGCGAAACCTAGGCTAGGTCGAGATTGGTGTTAAGTTTCCGAATCAAAGTCTTTGTCACTTACGGCCTTTCGCTATTGCCGGGTCAACAGATTTGCTTCAAGACCCTTTTGAGACCGGCTTATATTTAGGCCGCTGGTCTTTTATGCGGCCACTGTCGATTGACCCTTAAACTATACGTATTATCCGTAACAAGTTTCTGAACTAGCTAGCGAGATTTTTAAAACCTCAGAATGGTGAGGGTCTCGAACGAACGGCGGTTTCGACGTGGTTAATGCGGCCATACAGCCACCTGCAAAACCAGCTTCATTTTTTTGGGCTCTTCAAAAATAATTGAGATTCGTCATTTGGACCCACAATGAGTCAGGCCCAGACTATGATGGTAAAGTGTCCGTTTTGCGGTGAAGCCAATGATAAAGGTACTGAATCTGTCAGAATAGAGCTATTTTGCATCATTAAATTAGCTTGGAACATTGTTCACAAAAGCGACGACAGAAGTTGCCACCTGCTCGACTAAGTGCGATGTCATGGTGTTGACATGCGCCCGGTGCAGCTGACGAGCGCATTCTGTCTACCATGTCGAACGCAGTCACCATCCACTTTAGAGTGCTGTCGCTGTCATATAGTCTCGTCCGCCCAAAGGCGAATTTAGACAAGATGTACTCTGCTTACCAAAGGTAAAGAGTTGTTAAGCTAGTAGCCAGAATGACTGTGACCCTGACTAGATATTATACTTTAGAATTCTCCTGAATTATGAGCCTAGGAGGAACCTCTGTCTACAGTACGTGGATTGAGACTTGTTATAGCAGCGTTCTAAGGCGCTAGCCCTAGTCGTGGATGATAAGATTCTAGAGAGTGAGAAGAACAGGATTATACTCTTCCTATAGCCAACAGTATCATGGGGAAACAAAAGTCATATTAATTCCGGGAATCAATTCCACCAGTTCGTGCGGCAGTAGTGGTGGGAGCTCCAAGTCCTTGTGCGCCTTCTCCGCCACCCAGTTGCCAACGTCTTCGCAAGCGGGACGATGTATACGATTGTCCGGGTCTTGACAAGCTTTCCATTGCAGTAAATTGGTATTTATGGGTGAGTACTGCCATTGCTTGTCGCCATAGCCTCCGTTAAAACACATCGTAGCATGGCGTAGAAAAGAAAATGGCTGTGAATTTTCCTCTCGGTATGGAGACAGGGACTTGAAATCTTGTGGAATTCTAGAACTGCCTTCCTCACCCGCAAGAAATAATGCCGAACATAGGAAGGCTAGACCAAGGCAGAAGTATGAGGGTCGAGCTTCTCTTAATTGGGGCATGTCACCGCTGTCCAGCAATGCCCATGCATTTCGGGCATCTCGAAGTACCACGGGGTATTTTGGAGTATGGTAATCGCCAACTTGTAATGTAGTGCCAACGAGACACAAAGCAAGGCATTTGTCAGCCCCTGGACTGCCTTCAATTGCCCTTTGTGTGTAGATTTTGATGGCCATTTTTTCTCAAGTCATTGTAAGGCGGGGGTGGTACCGTCGCCTCCCACTTGCTGTATATCCATCTCAGAGTTTCTAGTAGTTGTTGAAGGCCAACACTGGTTTCGGAACCTTGATCGAGATAATGTTCCCTAGAGTCAGGCTCCAGCTCCACAAATGTGTGCGCGAGATCGGACATTTTGGCACTTTCGATCGAGAATCAATTAAGGCCGAGTTAGGTAGGCCTCTGGGAGATATATATAATTCAGAAATTTATACGCTGTACAGTCCACAGAGCGAGGCTTAAGGAAGAAGACGATCCTCTCGAGGAGGCAGACTTGAAAGCGCAGCCTGCTGCTGCCAAGAACATTGATCACGAGATAGCTCAGCCACTTATTTGTGGCTGAATTGTGGCTGCAATATTGCTGAAAGCCAATCATGTGGGAACTCTCTATGAGGGCTGTTTCCGGGAACGAGGAACAACGGCTGCATTTCTCATTGCCGCTCTATGGACTGGAGCATCACAAAATTGCTCTACTATGTTAAACTCTTGCTTCTACATTATTGGTGGATATCGTTACAAAAGTCTTACTATACAAGGTTAGATCTGTGACAAGTGGGCACGCCCGATTCTTTTTTGAACAGTCCAAAAAGTGAAGCTAGTTTTGCAGGTGACTGTAGATGTGAATGAAGGCAACAGCTTTAGGTGGGAGATTCCGACGTGTCAGCATGCATGAATCATATACGTTGATAGCCTCCTCTGGCGCTTCAAGGCGTGGTACACTGTACAATATGCTGGGTACTGTACGGATTGTTCTACATGATCTTAGGCCGTGTCTCATTTCCTTGGCCTCAAAAATTTCAAAAAGTTTGGTGCTGTTCATCAATGGACAGGCATCAATCAAAGGGCGACGCTCCGACAGCCTGCGCTGACACCCCACTCCTTCCACGTCCCATGATTCAATCTGCGCGAGCTCTTGTTTGATGTCACGTTACGTGCTCCTCATCGCGGTCATGAATCATGGTGCTTTATTTTATCATGGATACAGATGCCTCTCGAGCCAATGGATCCCTTGAAGGAAGCAATGAACATTCCGTGACTTCACAGTAGCGGGTTTTCATACAGTATCCCCAATCTTCATACACCCACTCATTGTCCCTGTGATGCGAAAGTTCGGTGCTGTCGGCCCCGATGGGTTTTGACTCGTCGATTTTTGAGGCCCCAGCCACGAGCACATCGACGAAGAGCGGGCAGACCTTACTAGCGATTACGATGCCCTTAAGCAAAAGACCCTAAAGCACGACTAGAAGGCTTATCAATTTCCTAGCTATATAAGATCTCCTTGAATACCGTGTGAACAGCTTTAGAGGCTCGATCACGCACGGATCACATTTCCAATCAGTGTTCATTTGGAAACAGTGCTTGATGCATTTTCCAAAGGAGCAATAGAACATGTGGAGCATACGATTGGCTGGGGGGGGGGGGGAGAGTTGGTGGCACGCGACATTGTAGACACCCGGACCTTGGAAATGGCTCAAATCGACAAAGCTCCAGTCGGAAACATCTGTCTTTCGTGGCACTGGAAAAGACGGGTTCGTAAAGCAAGCGAGGATTGGCTGTCGACAGGTCAGCTCGTGGACCTCGCATATCCTTCTGGACCCATAAGTCTCTCACTTCGCCCTGTGGGTGAATGAGTCGCGGAGGGTTCCATCCCTCTGATCCCATCCAGCGGCTGCAGCGTTCAGTACACTCTCGACCGGCAAGGCCTAAATCGGAACTGTCGCCGTCGTCGCCGATCATGAACGGCGCCGACAACCCAATACCCGGTTGTTTCGAAATCTGCATTCCATGTCTTCTCCGCCTCAGGACCAAGGGACCTGGAAACTGCACGATCCCCCCCGGCGCGTTCTACCACCACGCGCCCCTTCGTGGCTCCACGTCGGGCGGAATGGATGTGCAACCCGTCGCGCCACCGTTCACCACGCAACAAGCTCTCGATCACCATGAGGGAGGTCCGCCGGCACCACGAGATGTCAGGGGGGGAATCGTCGGCGCCCGGGAGAACTGGGGGGGCAATTCCACGGTCGGAAGGGGTGGTGAAGAGCCCAAGGAGGGCACGGACGAAGAATTGCCAGAAACGTGCCAAGAGAGAAAGTTTGTATGCGAATTCCCAGGTTGCCGAGTGAAGGATACGAACCGACGCAGGCGGTACAAACGTCGTGAACACCTTCGACGGCATCAAAAGACCCACGAAGGTTACAGGTGTTATTGCACATGCGGCCAAACTCTCTCTCGAGAGGACAACCTCCGAACTCACGAACGAACCGTGCATGGCAAAGACGGGACTCCAACGAGGGCCCAGAAGGGATCATGACCACCTCGACAGGGGCCGGAGGCCATCGTGGCAGGCCTGGTGCACCCCATACAGGGATCTCCTTTGGCCCTTTCTCGTCGGTGGCGAATGCCAGTCATTGGCCGGCACGATTTCGAGATCCGAAGGCCCCTTGCCAGCCGTAACGAGCTTCTGTAGTGTTCTCACCGAGGTATTTCTGAGGTTTTCGTTCAATCCATCTCCATCCGCCTTCATTTTGGATTCTGGGTGCGTTATCGGATAGACGTTCGGCCTAATCTCTCCCGAGTGTTGGACCTTTGTCATCAGAAGCCGGGAATCTCGAAAAACGCTGCCGGCGAGCCCACCGTCAGGGTTAGCTAGCGCTCACCTACTGAGACTTTACCTTTTGGATTAGGTGAAGTATTAGTAGTTGACAGCCTTCTTCTATACTTTACGATTGCTGATGGCAGACTATACGGTCGATATCGAGAGAGCGGGACGGAGTTAGGTCTCTCATCATCTTAACTCCTAATCTTCCGCGTCACAGCAGTTGACCTAGGGCCCTCCCTAAAAGATACGTTGTTGAGCAAGAAAACAAAGGAATAGTTAGGATTTCGAGTAGATTACACTTCATTGAGAGCTTGAGGGATACACATTTAGTGAACGCGCCCGGTGGCATCGAAGATGAGGTAGACACCCGAGTAGGGGAACGGCACGCAATCACTACAGTACACCGTTGTTCTACACGAGGAATTCTTTTGCTCAACACTCCCAAGTGAGCGGGAGATTTCCCATCCTCTCCTCTACATTCCAAAAAAACCGAAATCAAAGTACATCGCCACGAACGAGTGTCTCTGTGTGAGAAACTCAGCCCAATCTACCAACCACTAACTTCCGAGAGGCGGAAGGAGTGGTGGTAGCGGACGAGGAAGAATTTCATTCTCCTCGTTATTCATGGCTGATAGCCGCACGCGGGATGGTTCAGAAGCGTCCAAGCGTACAGAGACAGATAAACCCGGTGGTACCTCCGTCCCGTATACCGCGGACGCCTTTACCGCGGGCCTTTGTCTTTGTAGCTCCGTCTTTGCCCATCTCGGACGCGACCGGCACGACCTGCCTGTGCCAGCGGTACCGGGTGCGCGGCGGCGATTCGACTGACAACAGCACATTCTTGCGCGACATGAAGGTCGTCGATTTCGGCAACGGCTCTATCTCGACTTCCAACAACGGTTCTTAGGAGAACGGCACCACTGGTGAGGGTGCGCGGATCCCTCCAACGTCGCCCCAGCCAACCCCGGCAATCCGGGTCCTCGTCGGTTTCGGCGGTTGGTGCACCTTGATCTCCACCGCATGCCGTTCATGTCCGGATTCAGAAGCCTGGCGGTCAGTGGAGAACCTAGAAACTTTTATAGAGATCGAGCACCATCAACGCACATCGGTCTAGATCGAGATCCTTTGCCTTTCCTCCTCGGCTGGTCAGTACGGCATGACTTGGAGACGCACATTTTCATCCAAGCTCTGGAGGACCAAATCGCTCCAGATGTCTTGCTTTTTGGGCTTCGCCGAAACTACCGTCGTCAGTCAAATTCGGTCTCGGGGGCTGGCGTGAGGGGTGAACTCACCCACCACCAGGAGGGATTGGGACGGATCTTTCCGGGTGTGGGACACAGCCACGTCCACCCGGCCCTTCGCCGCAAATTTCTGGACCCCACACGCGGCAAGGATGACCTCCGGGTTCGGCCTTCCCCGCCGGTGCACGTAGGTGTGCTCCTGCGACTGATTTCTCCGGTCGCCGGATTTGGAGTACGTCGAGAGTTGGAGAATCTAGGGCTAAGTCAACAGGGTCCAATCTCGCCGGACACCGTGGGGCTGGGTTCTTCGACTCACCAGACTATGGTGGCCACGGACTTTTATCCGAAGGTCATCGAGTACGCGTCGACAGTGTTCGATCTGTCCTGCAGGTATGATTGGAACACGCACCAAACGCAGTCGGACGAGATGGAGCTTACCTGCGTCGCGTAGTTGCCAGACGATACTCATCGTATGGACGCGACCCTGGTGGGAGTGGGCGAGGTTCAGGAGGTATGGTAAGATCGACACGATGCGACTTGGCCCCTCGGCCACCACCAGCAAGTGATCGAACCCTCCGAGCGAGATCCTCCTCCCATAGGGTCCGTACAGCAGCACGGGGATGTGTCGATCCACGGCGGGCTGTATTTCGGTGGAGCTCGGAGACGCCAAGGTCGGATGGCGAAACAGGTTGGCGGTGAAGGAGGCTCGCTTCTCCACTAACAAGCCCACGTCGCCGTCCTCCGCCGCGCGGAAGGCCATGAACGGGTGACTTTGGAAGATGGAAAGGGCAGAAGTCCGAAGGCCTACGAGGTGCACGTACTGGCCCAGGCCGAGGTCGAACCTAGCCACGCTGGATACCGTGATGCCCATCATGCTGTCACCCTGTCCATAGACCGTCCCGACGGCAGAAGGCCACTTGCGATCGAGCATCCGAGCGAGGACTCGAGCGACTATCCGGTTGCGCCAGACGAGGCGGCACAGATCCCACGGCACGGGGAGACCGAGAGCGATGGTGGCCACCAACACTGCGATCTGGGGCACCTGAAAGTGAGGCGGGTCCAACCGCGGGCCCGCATGACGCCACAGTCCGACAAGGCATGCCAGGCCAAGGCCCTGGTGGCCACGCAGGAACGGCTCGTACGCGCGGGTGCGGAGAGGCAGGAGCGCCATGAACAGAATCGACAGGAGGGCGGCGACGATCTCCAGAGCACCTGTCAGCAGCATTCGTCGGGTCGCGAGCCACTTACCTACCAATAGATTCCACGTCCATCCCGCGGGGCCCTGGAGCTTCTCGACTTGACGCCAGGCCAGCCAGGAATGTACCGCCCCCAGAGACACGAAAACCCCCGACACCGTCCGATGTGCACGTCCATACTGGGGCAGCGAGAGACCCAGGATTGTCGCGGGGAGATCGTGCGTGGTGCCAAAGTACAGGGGCACCGCGTTGACCATGGCCAAGCCCCCCAAACGACGGCGCAGCTCCTCTCGTGCCGGCCAACCGTACGCCACGGCGGTGGCGGTTCCTATTAGGTAGATGGTGAGGACCACCACCTCTGCCCGTGTCCAAGGGCCGATCCACCCATGGCGATGGATGAGGCGCGGGTAAAGGAAGTGTCGGCACCAGAACCGGTCTAGCCGGGGCCACCGACGCTGGAGCGAGCGCGCCGAGAGCCGACTCGCCACGCCTTGTGCCGCGATACACCCGACCGCAGCGACAGCGTAGGCTTCCACAGGATCCATAAGAACTGAGGTGGGAGTCGAAGTCTCCGACAGCAGTATCGACGAAAGATGGTGACCGAGTCGGAGGATGAGGGAGGGGTTTGTGGTCGCTTTAATTGAGCTCTCAGGGCTTCTCGCAGTGCGGCTGATCGCCATTCGACTTTCCCGGCACCGAGTGATCGATGTCATCCATCTCGAAGGATACATGTATCAGGGAAGGATCTCTTCGTGACGCTCGATGCTGAAGTCACCCAAATTGGGTGAGATGTTGGAGAGAAATTTTGGATCGGTCCCGAAATTTATTCAGGATCGATAGGATTCTCACGAAGGCGCTGCCGGACTCCTTAGTCGAGCAAATCAATCTACGGGCATTTAGCTTAGATGGCTCATCATGGTACCTTGACGGGTGGCGGTTAGACATGTTCCGGAACGGATTCACAGTCGTGGAAGAAATAATTCTGGATGTGGCCTCCATTCCGGATCCTCTTGTGGTGGCCTGGGGGCGGGGAGCTTTCAACGTCTCGTCTGTCGATTACAGGATCATACTTGAAAGGCAAGGCTAGCCGATTCTGTGAATCATCATTATCTGCCGCGGTTTGTGGGAGCCGTCATCGAAAGTGGAGAGTGAACTCGTTCTGATGACAGACATGTCTCCGACGGAAGAGTGCACACCTCCAAACAATCGCTTTCTGCCCGGCCCACGCTTCTTCCAGGGAGCTGGCACGTAGATAAGCCAAATCTTTTCCGTTGTGGGCCCCTCCTTCTTAGAGGAGTGGTAATCTGGCGCAGAGAAGGTCACAAATTTTGGGGCGCAAAGCCTCCGCCCTGGTGCCGACCCGGGCTGGTGGAATACTGCACCTTTCCTCACCTCGAGGATACAATTCGTGGGTCACCGAGAGTTGGGTCGGCCGGTTCCCTTTTCCTGCACCACATGCCTACAACTCCGTCTGGACCCTACTACTGTATCTTGTGACAATCGCCCCGAGTGGGGTCCTTTGGTCGACTCGCCCTGCACGCCCAGCGTCCCTCGGCCAGGGCGTGACAGCTCTAAAATGGGGCGAGTTGGAAAGGGAACTCAAGAATGTCGGCCGCCGTGCAATATCCCGACGTGTCGACTCTCCCCCTTCCCAGCCACCCTCATTGTACAGTATCCGCGATGGCTCGTCCGAGAGTATGTTCAATCTGGGCGGCTGTGAGGGTCGTCGTGGCGGTTTGGATCCTGTGGTTGACCACCGTCACGGGAAGCGTCCACGCTCGATACGTGCTGATCGACCACTACGCCGGTGATTCCTTCTTGGATCGTTTTGATTTCTTCACGGTGCGGGATCCCGTCCCTCTACTCGCCCTAACACGCTAACTGGCCAGCAGGGTCCCGACCCGACCCACGGATACGTGACGTATCTGGACCGACCAGCAGCGACACGGGCGGGATTGGTCGCCCTTCGCAATGAAAGCCTCTACCTCGGGGTAGACTCCAACAAGCTCGCCACAGGTCCTGGGCGGGCAAGTGTCCGGATCACCAGCCAGACGTCGTACCATCAATGCTTGCTCCTTCTGGACCTTACACACATGCCGGGGAGCACCTGTGGGACCTGGCCCGCCTTGTGCGTCGAGGTCCTCCCCTGATTCCATGGACGGGACGTCGGACTAACGGAGGCCAGTTGGACGGTGGGGCCGAATTGGCCCGACGGCGGTGAGATTGACATCATCGAGGGCGTGAATACGCAGAACACGAACGCGATGAGCCTCCACACGAACCGGACGTGCCACATTCGCCCGGACACCGCGTTCTCGGGCACCTTGATCCGCGATGAGTGCGAGCGAGACCGTGGCCCGGACGGTTGCACCGTCGTTTCCACCGTCGCCGGCACCTACGGAGACGAGCTCAACGAGATATCCGGGGGGATCTACGCGATGGAGTGGACTGAGCACGGCATCCGGGTTTGGTTCTTCCCTCGTGGCTCTACCCCCGTCGACGTCTTGGAAGGCTTGCCGGAGCCAGCACAGTGGCCCACTCCTCTGGCGTCTTTCACGGGTGACTGTCAATTCAACTCCTCGTTCACCGCCCAGAAAATCGTGAGTGCATCGGCCACGGAGGCCTTCCTCTCCCCTTATCTCTCCTTGTCCATGCGGTGGTCCCGGAGACTGACATCTCACAGGTCTTCGACACCACATTCTGTGGCGACTGGGCTGGGGCGACCTGGAAGGAGGATTCGGTGTGCTCCCCCCTCGCGGAAGATTGTGAGACGTATGTGCGGGACAACCCTGCGGCATTCACGGAGTCATATTGGTCGATCAATCATCTCAAAGTGTACGACCTGAGCTCGGGGGCCCCTCTCAACGACAGTAGCCATGGGTCCGTCGTGGGCTCGAGCCGCGTGACGGGGCCGTCCCCGTCCAATATGTCGGTTCCTCAGCCATCCACCGGCCCAGACGCCACCGGTCCAAGAACCTGGTATTGGAGGGGCCATTTCGCGTGGATGATGACGGATGTGGCAGAGGCTCCGGGGCCTTCGACCCGCTAGTATATCGACGGGGGAATTGGAGTCCCTTGCGCGACAGTGCCTTGCTTTCACGCAAGACGACGCCAATGAGTGCCAAGGCCCAATGACTGACCTCTACGCAAGCTTACAGAGAGAAAAGATTGAATCAGCGGGAAATACACATGGGAAACTAGAATAGACCGTAATTGATGGGCACACAGATATCTTCTTGGCATTCATTTCGTGCAACGAGTCCAACAGGCTCACAGACGTTAGCGATGGAGAGGGTGCGGCTTGATCTTAGCTTCTGGTCTGTCGACCACTGTGCCGAAGTTTCCACGCGTCTACCGCACGTGTGGACTACACACGTTTTCAATTGATGCTTCACTTCACGCACACACTCAAAATAACTAAGGACCACTTTTTGTCCCACTGGTTGCCTAGCGCGGCTTGTCAGTGCCGCCAATCGATAAGGAATATTTTCTGTCCCTCTTGACTTACGGTACGTTACGAGCACGCTTGACTTAAATAGGATAGCGTGAGTGTGTATTTAGCGCAGCAATAATTTGTGCATTTGCCTCTAACACTTTGTACTAAAGAAGCTTCTAGAATCTCCAAGCAGCATCATCCGGGTGGTCATGAGAAGGTGGTGCAGATGCTGCTCGACAAGGTGCAGACGTCCATGCTCAAGGAGGACAGACGTTCCCCTAAGAGCAATGGTCGCCTAGGCGCGAGCCTCGTAGACCAAGTCGATCCTGGACTTCGGCTATTCTGTGTTATGTGCGGCTAGGCTTTTCTTGATACCTCATTTAAGGTTTGTGGCGGCACCACCTAAATTACCAGAAACGATCCCCAGGAGGTCAAATGCAAGTTTGGCCAGTGGAAAAACATAGGTTATTATTCTGGTTGCATTCCAAGTATGGTGGGGAACTGCCTGGTTCTTGTACCCTAACCCCCTAGCGATTCAAGCTATATTGTTACATAAACTACTATCCAAGCAAATAGTCAGCCAGATGCCAGTGGTATCCAAAGATTTAATGCTTCATCACCAATGGCTATTCCATTCTCAGGGTACTTTTCCCATAGGATACCAAGGTCATGAGGTATGAATTGTAATCCTGATTCCCTTGCTATTCGGTCGATATAATGGTGTTACTCCATCACCAATAATCTCTAGATCCTCATAGGTTGTGTTAAAAAGCTCTAGCCAGCCTTTGTCTGTCGGAAAGCGGACAGCTCTGCTACCATATATACTAAACACGGCCGCCACGGTGAGGTACAGCTCCGCGTATGCCAGGTTGATGCCCACGCAGGCTCTTGTGCCACGAGAGAAAGGTACAAGATACTTTTCTAGACTCAGGTTATCGATCCATCGTTGCGGACGGAACTCCATTGGATTTTCAAAGTATGTCGCTGAATGGTGAATCAGCAAGCCGGTCATGGACAGAGGGATACCAGGACCCAGGACATATCGCTTCTCGGTTTCTGTTTTGCCGTTGGCATCCGGGACTTTGGCAGTGTAGACTAGCGTCTCTTCCGTTGCAATGCGCTGCAACCGTGTGCTAATCCCACTACTAAGACGGAGGCCTTCTTTGATGACAGCCGTGAGATATGGAAGTTGCTCCAGCTTTGCTATTTCCGGCAGATCTGTCGGGCGTGGAAAGACCTCCGCCAGCTCATTTTTCAGTTTCTCCAGTTCCATCGGTTGTTCCAGCAGATAATACGTTATTTCTGAGAGCGCAGCCGCGGTCGTTAATGTGCCGGCAATGACTGTCACCTGTCCGTCTTGCCAGAGACGGTCAGGTGACTTTTCCTGCTCGGGTAGATCGCCCTGCAAGATCTCATGGAAGATGGTCGTTTGTGAGCTATATTTACTGCCGGACTCGCCACGATGCGAGTAAATCTCAGAAACATGCTGGATGATATCCTATTCATTGTATTAACGACACAATGTCATTGGATACTAAGAGTATAGTGTACACATCTGGGAGATTTTACCTTATTCAGTTTTATATAACTAGCCATCATAGGGTTGAAGGTAGTCTGCACCGAGTCCGGAAGCAATTTCATCACGGTTAGCACCCACGGCATTTGTTTGACGAAATGGCCCAGCTTGGCCCCTGCTTCACCAGCTTTTTTGAAGCTTGGATCAAAGTCGGGAGCCAGTAACCGATTATCACTGCGGGCAAACGCATACTCCATGACGACGTCTAAACTTGTTAATACGATGTTGGCGAAAGGAAGGAGACAACTGACCGTTCGTGAGCGCAGCGTAAGCCAACGACACTGTCATAGGCTCTCTGGAAGCTCCAAATTCATCAAAGCGCGCCAGCAGATTGTTCAAGCTAGACTCGATACGCGGTTGTAAGCTCCTCACTTTCGCCTTGGAGAAGTAGGGATTCAAGGCCGCCCTGCGCATGCGGTGAAGATTATGGTCGGGAGTTGCAAACGCCGCCTGAGGTAATCCACTCTGGTTTGTAAAAAACGTCCACTTGTTCCGTTTGCGCGTGGAGCCGGCGTACACGTGATCATAATAGTCGGCGTCCTGGATGTGAATTTCTTCCGGGTTGATGCGCACAATGGGACCATATTGCTGATGCAAGGCACGAATTTTCCAGATATATTGACCGCCGAGGATGACATCGTGGTAGAATTCGTACCTTAGACCATGAGTTGATATGATGTTCTATAAAATGTACGATCTAGCCTTACCAATACGTGAGCTTTGCCAATGTCGGCCCAGGGATCTCTGCTTGAGGACAAAGATATAACCGCCACGTCGATAGGACGAGAAAATATGTCACCGCCAACGAGGATCCTAAGGCGCACACCAATCCTGCGGGAGAGGCAACCAGTCCTTCTAGCCGGTCCATGGAGCTGGAGAACCTTTCGTTAGTCTCCTTGTTCGAATATAACGTCACCTGGAAGTTCGGAGATGACCTGAAGGAGTGAAAGGTCGAGAGATGGGGAATTCATTTATGAAGCAGAGAGGCTACCCGGAACGGAGACGGCCGCAGCCGCATGGATAAACCCCCCTTGAAAGAGACTGCATTAGGTCACGGACGGAAGCCACCAGTAAAATACCCCGCACAAGTCCACTAAGGCCAAACACCCGCCTTCCACGCGAGGCTATGGGCACTTTCACCGTCTTTCCTGGCCAACCCAAGGTCGTCCCGTACATTGGCGCAGACTGCCTCTTCACAGTTGAGTTTTCCCTCTACCTCTCCATATTCATGCGCCATATAGTTGAAGAATTTTAACCTCCCTGAATTCGTTATTGTCCCGATTTCGGTGGATCCTTCTCGAGGCCGCTTCTGACTTTGTTTGTGATTAAGGTCGCGACAGACACCCTAGCGTAGCCATTCCCATGGAGGCGCCCGACATGCACAACGATGTTGAGGCAAGTCGGCGCAGGGCAACTCGGTCAGCGCGAGTGTTAATGGGTGAGACAGGTCATTCAAGACGACAATGGTGATGACGACTCCGCCTATGGGGGCAGGTATAACACCTCCTAAGAATGTGTTCTCGCTGTGTCGGAGCTGACGAAGACACAGTGACGCATCTTCGATGACAACGACGCTCGCTTCGTCTGTGTGGAACTATGTGGATGTCTGCTCCCAGTCTAGATGATTAATACTAATATCAGTGTAGATATGAGGCTAGTTCCTTACAGGGTTGCAATATCACCTTCACAACCCACTAACTGGAATAGAATGGTCGAAGATACCAACATCTTAGCGAGCACCCCTACATATTTGTGCGATTATCGTGACACACCTTTGGACTACGCTGACCTGCTCCAGCCCAACGATGAACAAGAGCAGGACCGACTGGACATGCTTCACCATATATATCGGCTCGTGCTGGGCGGCAAGCTATACACAATTCCGCTTGTGAGCCCACAACGAGTACTGGATATTGGGACTGGCACGGGACTGTGGGCGTTACAGTTTGCGGAGTGGGGCCTCATATGCTATGCTAGATATTCTGTGCTGACGTGGTTCCAGCGAGTTTCCCGGGGCAGAAGTAATAGGTGAGTCCTCTACTGTGTATCTTGAACGAACCCTCGACTGACGGCGATGTTCAGGGGTTGACATCAGTCCTATTCAACCTCAGTGGTAATCTGGTCCGATGTTATTGGCGATTTGTCTGACCCTAGTAGGACAGCGCCGAATTGTCGCTTCATTATCGATGACCTCGAGCAAAACTGGGCTTACCCCACCGGCAAAAGTTTCAACTATATCCACCAGCGCAGTTTGTCCGGCAGCATCGGAGACTGGACAAGGTTATACAAGCAGGCACTGGCTAACCTTCAGCCCAATGGCTGGCTTGAGATTCAAGAATTCGAAGTCTGGTTCTACTCACAGAAGCCCGGGGGCTTACCGAAAGACTCGGCTATCACTAAATGGCAGAATTTGATCGATGAGGGGAGCCTCCAACTTGGACGGCGCCTCAATTATGCATGTTGTTTCAAAAATCATCTCGAAGAGGCTGGGTTTGTGGATATTCAGACGCAGGTCTTCAAGGTAAGACTCGCCATTCCAAATTCCATTACAGTTTTCCCGGATAGCTCAGTCAGATCTTGCAGGCTCCGATAGGCGCATGGCCTAAAGACCGCAAACTTCGTGATATAGGGATATTTCTCCAAGCACAAATGAGCCGAGCCCTCGAAGCTGTCACACTCGGATATTTCACCCGTGCCCTTGGCTGGTCGGAACTTGAAACTAAGGTCTTTCTCGCTCAGGTGAGGAACGAGTTTAATGATCGATCACAACATCTTTACACGTTTTGCTGGTTTGTTTCAGGCAGGAGACCTATGGATACTAGCAATATCATCTAGAATAACTATCGATCGAGTAGCATCTCCACCTTCTCGCCACTATGGTATGATGCCGCTTGGAGAGCATTGCCATAGTGTCCTCGTGCATTGACGTCTGCTCCCTTCTTGAGGAGCATCCGCACTATTTTGTCGTGGCCAGACTGGCCGGCCCATATTAGAAGATCTTTCATGTATGCCGGCCGCCGCCATTGCTGCATACCCTTGCCACTCCTTATTTCTTATGCGAGTCCGAGTAGTCGCATATACCACGAATACCCAGCCAGGGAAAGCGATTCATCAGCCCCGCCGCCTCCATTTCAAAACACAAAACGTCCTTTTCCGCTCCGAGTTTAGCCCGAGCTGTGGCGTCCTTCATCAACTGATTCGCCGAAGCAATCGGGCCGTGGGCAATTGCTCGGACCCTTCACCTGTCCTTTAGCGAGTTCCTCTTGAGCGACAAACTTCCACATCAACCTTTCGGAGTGGACGGCCGTACTACGCATCGAATGCTGCTGACGAAATGTCTGAAATTGCTGTCGGGACCCGACGGCCTGTAAGAGAACCTATGCGACCTTAAGTATCCAGGTCAGCCCAGAGGCTTCTCCCCCGACGGCTCGCTGCTGGCCTCTGGATCAGACGATGAGACCGTCGGGCTGTGGGACGCGAGCACGGGCCAAGAACTCCACAAATTCGAGGATATATCGTCTATCACAAAAATCAAATTTACAATCGGCAATAAGACTTTACTCACTAATCGAGGAGCTCTATCCATCGACGATCGAATACTTCTGGTAAGGCTATTAAGTCTGTAGCCGATGAAACCATTGTGATCAAGAATGAGTGGATTCGACGAGGCGAACGTAATCTCCTCTGGCTTCCACAGGAGTATCGTACATAGTTGTTCAGCATTCAACGGCGATACGATTGCAATTGGTCTGAATTCTGGCCAAGTCAGATTTATCCAGATTGATAGATAATTCTTGAATGTCTATCGCTTGAGCCGTCGGCATGTGACCTTTTCATTTTAGCGTTTTTGTACCTCTTGGCAGGAATAGGCCGTATACAACCAGATTTCCGAGAAAGACCCTATGTTTTTGAGTCTAGTAATTAAGAAATGGTTAAGCAATGCCTTATTCAAGTTTATAATGATAATAATTGTGCGTTGTTGAGATATGCTTGCCGTTAGGGAACATTACAAAAAGGCTAAAATGAAAAGGTCACATGCTAACGGCTCAGGGGATAAACTACTGTAATACGGTACAATCATATTTTCTATTACCTTGACCTCCGAGGGTCTGGGGAAATGCATCATATATACCCCACGCCGAGATTCTAGAAGTTTCTTTACTGCAAAGTGTTAGGGGCACGGTCTACCACGTGTCTATGTATACTACACCTAGGAAGGTATAGCAGACAACCGGAGACTTCCTTGCCACTGTCTCGTTTGTTGTCGAGGCACCACGTAGCGTGACCGACAATGTTGGTTGCGGAGATGCGATGGTAGCCGGACAAGCTAGGCATAAATTGTTGCCGCATTAAATATTCGCCCACACTATCCTCTTTAAGTCAAGCGTGTTCGTATCGTACCGTAAGTTAAGAAAGAGGGGCAGAAAACGCGAAGTGAAGCAGCAATTAAAAACGTGTGTAGTAATGGCACCCAGAGTCCTGTCCGTCTTGCAGGTTTTCCCCGTGTGTATATCCGGAGGACCTTGTTCGAAGATACTGTACTCGTCACACCAGGTAAAAGTGCATCCCGTCTTTGCGTTAAACACCCTATGTTGTCTTTTAGTTTGTTTTTCTCAACTCTTGCTGCCAGCCAAAATCTGTATCACTGCATCGCTGAATGTGAGTGCTGCCATAAACTACTTCTCGCGCGCAGAGTCGAGGCCAAACTAAGGATTCAACCGATGAGGCTTGCAGCACATGGGGGAGTACTCCAGAATATGTTGAGAATATATCTCCAATAGGTTCCTATCACCATCGACGATGGCGTGTCCGCCGAGATGTGGGGGTTAGCATGAGCATTGTAAAGGAGCTGCGCCAGACCGTTGACGTGATACAGTAGTCGAAAAGATTGAATGGGCCTTACTCGGGTCAGAGCATGACACTTTGACGGGATCATGGAGGGGCATCCGTATCAATGGTTTCGGATTCTGTTTGGAAATCACAAAAATAGCAATTTTGGTGCTCGAAACTTGTGCAATTTAGAGAGCTTATACACACGACTGAAAAGGTAAGAAATGCCACCTATGTAACCCCTATTATCCGGGGGCGCCAAGACCTAGAAAAATAACTTAAAACAGGGTCATATTGCCGATAATTAGATTCCGATCAAAAATGACCGAATCGAAAACCGGTTACTGTAGTCTCAAATTTCTAATTGAGCAGTCGGGGGGCCATTCAGTACGTCGAACGTCGTCTTATTGGCCACAGATCCTTTGTCCCAAGCATCGACCTCTCTCTTGATTTCTCTGTGAGTGGCTCCAGTTACATACCCACTGGGCAAGGGGCTCCAGCTGTGATCACTGTGTCGGGTCCCGTACAGTACTACCGTCGCGCGCCTTCTCATCATGCATAACAGAGTTATTACCTTATAGCTTTTCATCCCCATTGCCCAATGGGCCGAAAAGATGCATCGGCTCCTCGACTCTGATCGTTTTGATGTCTATTTCCAAATCGTTGGTTGTGTTCTAGAAAGCGTCGTGCCCCCTACGAGGGGCTAGTAGAGCCTATCTGTTCACTGGACCTATGTACATAGTATGCGCGGAGTACTGCCACGTCCCTGATTGGTCCATATCCATCGAGGAGCGATTGGTCGTCCTGTTGGGCTGTTGGAACCCTCCATAGCCTCATGATCCACCGGATCATATATATACCATGGTCCCTTTCTTTCCGAGAGGAGGGAGCTGAGGGGAGACTCGGGAACACTGAGGTCACCGGACCTCTCAATGCCACTCCGCCCAGAGCACGATGGATCTCCTGGACCGCTGGGGCTCGACTTCTCCCGTGTTCATTGGGGCGCTTCTCTTGGTGGTATTGACATTGGGCTTGGTAGTCCATGGTGGCCTGTCCTCGCCATTGGCGAAGATACCCGCCGGCCATGTCACCGCCCATTTCTCTTACTTGTGGATCCTCTGCATTCGGTGGCAGGATCGGGAGCACCCGACACTCCTCAGACTGCACCGCAAATATGGGCCCATCCTCCGCTTGGGCCCAAACGAGATCAGCGTCAATTCGAGGGAAGGTTTGCACAAGATCTACACGCGAGGGTTTCCCATCGATCCATCTTACGTGCGGCGATACTCTTTCTACCGGTAGGGCCATCCCGTGAGGTTGAGATGTATTGACCCATGACCGAACCCTGGTAGAACTCCCAACCTATTCTCGACGACGAGCAGTACCGACCACTCCCAGCGGAGGCGAGGTGTGCAAAGGGTCTTCGCGAAACAAACCGTCGTGGACTGCCCGTCCCGACGGGAGACGATGAGGATCCTGCTCGGCAGACGCCTCCTGCCCCTCTTGGACAAGGACTATCCTTTGGACGTGTGCGCGGTGAGTGAGGCCTTTTGCATGGATGCGTTCACCTCGTACCAGTTCGGGCTCTCATCCGGCACGAACTTCCTCAGTGACCTGGCGGCCTGGGCGAGATACCTGGACCAATTCTTCTGCAGCCGGCGGCGCTATCTCTTCCTAGAGAACGAGGTGCCCGCCCTGCTGCCGCTCCTAGCCCGACTCGGCATTGGCTTTCCCACCAGGCAAATCAATGCAGCGACGGCGGAGCTGGAGCGCTGGAACCTCAGAATGTGCGACCAGGCTGAGTTATTGCTGTCAGGCCAGGACGACGTGGATGCCGTCAACCAGCCCATCGTATACCGCCAGCAACGAGAGGCGACGCGGCCGGGGCTTCCGGGGAACACCCGGCAATTCGAGGTCGCGAGCAACATGCTAGACTACACCATCGCCGTGCACGAAGACAGCGGTGCCATCTTGACTGAATGCCACCGCCGATTGGCGGAAGACCCGGCGCTGCAGGTCCTCCTCCACCGAGAACTAATGACACTCAATCCACCGGTCGTGTACTCGGCGGGGTTGGACCAACTCGAGTTGCCCTCCTTCGATCAGGTCGACGCTCTCTCATTGTTGGACGCCCTCATTGTGGAGACCCTTCGTCTGCGCGTACCGCCACCCCACGTCCGTCTGCAGCCACGTCTCACCCCTTCCCCGTCGTGTACACTGAGCGGCCACCCTCTCCCACCCGGGGTCCACGTACAATGTGACCCGTACGTATTTCACCGGGACCTGGAGGTGTACCCCGAGCCCGAGGCATGGAAACCAGACCGGTGGCGGGAACCCGACCCCGAGAAGTTGAAAAGGATGAGGGCTTCCTTTTGGCCATTCGGGCGAGGGGAGAGAGTGTGCATCGGCCAGCACGTCGCGATCCATTGTGAGCCACGGTATAGAACCCCGGTCGAGAAACCACTAACGACGTCCCGCAGTCATAAAGCTGGCTCTTGCCGCCATCTACACAAACTACCGGAGCGTCGTTTCCAACGCCCACGGTTACTCTGGCACAGCTTCGACATTTCCAGGAAAGCGTACACCGCCGGTCTCTTTCGTTCGCTGGGATGCGGGCGAGGCCCTTACCCACGTCATCGCGTCCTGACCAACCAATGACTCTATGGATGCATCGAACCCACACCCACAACCCGACCCGTGAGACGTCGATACCTTCTCGAAGTTCGGGAGGAGATGTCCGATCTTGGCTCTTTCGAGCTGGATATCACGTGGACATTTATTTCCCTCGGTCAGACCGCACGGGCAGCCGCCCTTTGACCACTCCCTACCACCGAGCAGTCTCGGTTGGACGCGTAGGAGGTCGGATACAAGCCACATGGCACGCCGCCGTTCTGAGTGCCTATAAAGCTGATCACGATGCCCACACCTCCGAGTCTCTCGACCTTCAAACGCCTGACCTACTTGCAGCTACCAGCCGTCGACCTGGACTTGACCTTGCCACGGGCAAATGAACCTCACTACCCAAAGCAGGCACGGATCATCCCTTAGATCGGGATCCCCAGCGACTGTTCCACCCTTCTTCTGCCCCGGGTCACCACTTACGGCGATTCTCAAAAGTTCGCTGGGAACGTTTGACGTAAACAACGACCTCCGGCTGTCGCCCCATCTCCGTTTGCACCACCACCAGCGCGTGCACGAACATTGACCCCGTCGCTTTTCGCTTCCGAAAAGTTGACACCTCCCCTTCAATCGGCCATTCTTTTGGTACCACGTATAGTAATCTCGAATCGTCAATTCGATAAATCTGCGCTCCCCGGAAGAAGGAACCTCTACCAGTCATTGTGCTTGTGTATCGCCTGTCCCTTGCCGGCTTGACTTAAAATCTTCAACTCAACTCTGTTCCTGGCGTCACATCTCAGCAACCTGTCAACCTTGGGCGTGCGTCTGCCCGGGTCTGAACATTTTCATTCCACACGCATCACCATGTCGACTACGGGAGTTGCACTTCAACCGACCTTCTATGGTCATGTCTCCACGACTCAGGATGCTCTGATTCTGTTCGAGGCCTGCTTGCAAGGCCGTCTTTCGCATGTTCCCCGCCGACTACATGATCGGGAACGCAGCAGTCTGATCCGGAGCGGCTGTATCTTCATCTACGAAGAGAATGCATCTGGCATCAAGAGGTGGACAGATGGCGTTACGTGGAGTCCGAGTCGCACCCTTGGCAACTTCTTGGTCTATCGCGAACTCAACAAATGCTTCCCACCCTGCGGGAAGAAGCGAACCATGAAAAGGCAACCAAGACGATCGAGCCCTGGTGAGCCCTACGCACGGCCTGACGCGGGGTCCTTCTCAGATTGCGGCAGTCAGTCTTCGCCCTATGGCGCAGAACGAGCAGCAACTGAAGTTGAGAGACAACTCATTGGCTCGCTCATCGACTCGTATGGATTCAAACAGGATGGTTTGGTCAAAAAGGCCATGAGTGTCACGGTACAAGGAGAGACATATCGTCTCGTCAGCTACTATAACGTCAATGATGTCATCCAAAACAATCTACAAACTCCTTCGCAAACCGATAATCTGCAGTACATTCGTCCTCGACGAGAACTTACATCCAAGCAGAGCTTCCGATCTCTGACCGAGGGTGTGGGCGAGGTTGACGCAGCTCCCACCGCGGATGGTTATCTAGTAGACCATCCGCACTACATTCAAGATCATCACCAGCAACCGTATTATATACCTCTAAACTATCCGTCTATGAATCAGCAAGAACCCCTGCGCGGAGCGCCGTACTCTTTGGACGTGCTTTTCACCAGTGGCTCTTACATCGAGTCACTAGTCCCGGCCTCAAGGATTCATACACCTCGCAACGACTATGGCCAGTATGATCAATCCACGTACCACAGAAACTATGATTCATTGAACAACTCGATTCCCCCTATACCAACGACGATACGGTCTGTAGTGCCTGACAGGTGTCAAATTCAATTGGGCATGTATCCTGCTATGAACATGCAACGCTCTGTTAACAATCTCAGCCACACGTCAATAGTTTCGAGAAGCAGAGTTCCCCACCCAGCAAATCATGATCCCGTCAAACCCAGCCATACAGCCATGGACCGGTCTCGCCAGAGTCCGTCCTTTCCCGGTCAGGCCAAATACGAGGATCGATGGGACGTCCAGCTCCCGACAACGAATGAGAATCTCCTATCCAATCAGCAACTGTCCCATCTCTATGGCTCAACGCCAGGTTATTATCCGAATAGTGCTGGAAAATCCGTGGGGTCATCGCAATATTCTCAATCGGGACAACTAGGACAGTGGCAAGGGACAAGAACCATCAGTTCTACACGGCAGTACTCCGGATGACAGCCGGGGTGACGTGAGAAACATCAAGCGAACCGTCAATGGATATCTGGGCCGGTGAAATTGTAACTTCGCCAAGGAGAAGGGCACGAACCGTGAAATAGAATACAGTATGTAATGATGGTGTCTATAAAAATCGAAGCGTGATGAACGGTGGCATTCATGGTTAATTTTCATGCAAGAGAGGAAAGCCCCACCAATACCTGCTGTGTAACGCCAAGGTCAAGGAGTAGACAGTGCTCTCGCTTCGCACACCCACGCTGTAGACAATCTATGACTGGTTCGGCATTTCCTTCAGCTGGGCACACCAAGGTGCAGTAAGTTAGTTCGCGCCTGCCGGGGACGGCAAAAGGCAGCGGTCGAGATGGACGAATCGAGCAGAAATTCCCTCGTACTGCCGTCGCCCCATTGCGCACGATCAAGGCCACTTCGTAACCACCGCTGTCGCAGTCCGATTTTCGACACCCCAGCTTCTCCGGTCTTTCGCCCGGCGGACTACCGTAATACTAGGTTCGATGCGTTCTAGATCACTTCCACAGTCGACCTCAATATAAAGTTCATCCGCCGCGGCGTCGTCGGATGAATCGTCGACTTGGCTCGTACGTGCCCAATAGGCCCCAGCTAGGGGAGTGTCGTCCGGACTAGGCTGCACCCATTCTGACGCACAGTCTCGTGGATCAACTTGAGGCTTACCCCGGTCCCTGGTGCGCTGCTTCATCGTCTGTGACCAGTGTCATGACCACTTCGACTTTCTGTTTCATTTCATCCAATTCCTTCCGACCAACCGCCTGCCTGGAAGTGCTGGCGTGCGGCCGCTGTACAGCATAACTCGATGGACTGGAGCCCTGGTCAATGCGGAGAAATTCCTGTTCGTCACCGGTGGGCTCTGGTCGCATGGTGCGGAGGGTCGGTTTTGCCGGCCTCGTAGGAAGTGTACGCCGGCCGACAGTCGAACGCTGAAACTCCGCAACGGGTTCCAATGCGGTCATTCGTCCCTGGAGAGTCTTGTGTCCTTCTAAAAATGTCCTCATTCAAGGTGAACAGGTCGTCTTGGACTTGACCATTATAATACACCACCTCGTGGTTCTCGTACCCCTTTCTCTTGGCCCCTGCATGTTTGGACAAAAGAGCGATCTTTTGGTTCCAAGCGGGGATCATATTGGCAAGATCGTCCAAGCGGGAGCGAGCAGAGATGAGTTCAGCCATGGGCGGAGGATGAGGAGACGACTTCTGGAGCTCGCGAGGACAAATAGAACAGGATGTACGAGGTGAGAGGGTGGCAAGGTATGGCAAATAACTGCTGCCCAGAGGCGCGGAGATCTTACATTAATTAGTCTACACCAGGATCAGCAGGGGACAGATCAGCACACGAGGAGTCACCGTTCGAAAGCATACGAACCTGGAGGCCCGCGTAATTAGTTCCCATTTGAGGTCAATCCCCAAGGAAGGGAAATTTGGTTGGCGAAAGCAATTTGACGATTGAGCACGGTCACAGGGCACCGACCCGGGGCCCTGCGCCGAGGGCATCCCGGACGGACAATCGCACAGCCCTGACCGATGCTAGGAGATTTAGGCATGAAGATCGACGCTGCTGGTGTCATGGCGGCGAGCATGATCTCACCCCGGAGCATGGGTTCTTTCGTACCTTTTTGGAGCCCAGCAATGTCCAAGACAACTGACGCAGGGTGACGGGGTCATCCCATTGGTCCCCTAGATCTTAGCGCGAGTACGGAGTATAATCTACGAACCACCCCTCTGAAATCTCCGGTCTTGTTCCTTTACCTCTTCTTCACCACGGCCTCGGGAATGCCACTGTCTTCGGGGATCAGCCACCCTCTCATACGTTGCACAGGGTGGTGTACAGAATCGTTTGATCTAGGGCGCGGCCTTCTTCAGGTAAAATGATAGCCAGCGCGTGATCTCATGCGTCGTCAATTCCTAGCACTGGTGCAATCCTCCTAGCCGCCACGGGGAAAAGCGTCCTGCGCAAGACCGTCTGATCGCCTGTGACGAATGTGACCGCGCCATCCTTGACCAAGGCAGGGGAGAACGGCAACCATGCATGACAAACATCCAATGCTTCCCCGCCTCGGTGAGTCTTTGCCTCGCACGTGTCATGGATGTGGGAGACACTTAGTGGCTGTGGGCGTCAACACGAGGAAACTGCTCTTCGTTCAGTGGGCCGCGTCGCCACAGATCCTAACGCCTCGGTTTAGGACCTCTCCGGTCGACTCACCGGGCTACACGAAATGATGTCCAAGGCCAGATCATCATCCCCCATGAGACGAATGTAGGGTCTACGAGATCCGCTCCGCACCGGGCGCGCAGTGTAGGGGTGGCCCCGAATTACTCTCGGAAAATCTCATTTTTCGGATATCTAGGCATTAGGTTTCCATCACGCCTCCCGTGGTTCCTGCAAATACCTGGCATGGCACCTACGGACGGCGTAGATTGGCGCGGCGGGACGCCTTCATTGTAGGACGCGTTGATCATGGAGCGGCCTATGAGGTATTCCGGGTTGAGCCTGGGTAGTCGCCGACTGGGCTCGGCTCAAGGAGGGAATTGACGTGAGCGCGTCATTTGCACGTTGCCTCGCGTGCAGAGTTATATCTCTCACGTGACCGTCTTGGTCGCGGCCTAGCGGCGGAGTTCCGTGGTAGAAGTTGACGAACACACTCCTCGATCGCGGCGTGTGATGCGCGAAGTCACCTTGACTGTAAGCAGTAGCACTCTCCGACTCGCGTTTCCTACACACGCAGGGTTGTGGACGCTTAGTGCCTCCGGATCGAAAGCCCCCACAAAACGGGGGTCGGAGATCGAAACCTCGGATGTTTTTATACGACATGTCACCTTGACATCTTTTCCCTCCTCTTTAGAAATTTGCATCTACCGCCTACAACCCACTTTCGACCACATTTCTAGACTGCTATCTGGCTCATCCGTCCTTGCATAATCCGGTACTTCTCCCCACTAGTTCATCCGTCGGATTCGGCGCCAACGGGCAGATTTGTTCCTGCCAGCAAGCTCCCCCAGTCAGCTCCTCCGTTCTAACTTCGCCGCCTCCCCCCCGGAGAAGTCCTTGCATCTTGATTTGATCTGAGGGAACTTTTTCACACCGAACCGCTCGACTCACTCTGCGCGCACAATGGAACAACCCCCAAGTTATCCTTACCCACATCTACCTCTTCCTAGCGCCCGAGAAATGGCAGGCTACCCTCTTCCGAATCCGGCGTACGGACGACTAGTGAGCGTCTCGGGTTCCACGAGATCTCCCGCGGACTCTCGAGATCCGTGCTATCAAACCGTTAGTAATCCCCACGAGGTTCGACACTGTCCTCCCTCCACTGCGGACTACCGACCGTGTCATGCGTATTCTGGGCCAGAGGGTCAGGCCAACGGGACTTCTCAACAAACCCTTCATGTAGTGACAGGTCATGAAATGATGCCTAGCCAGCCACCAACTCAGCCCGGGCTTTATGGCCCACCTTCAGCCGGACCGCCTCCGTCAACTCCTTGTTATTACGTCGAGGTTGATGGGGGTCAACGTCGTAAGCCTGTCAGAGCTGCTCAGGCTTGCGATTCGTGCCGGCAGCGGAAGGCGAAATGTGATGAAGGGCGGCCGGAATGTCAGCATTGCAAGGAGAACGGACTGAAATGCTCTTATCGGGAGATCCCACCGCAAAAATCCGAAAAGCTAGCTCTTGCAATCACAGCTCAGCTAGATGCCATTACCGACTCCGTCAAGCTGCTGACCGACAATTCGAGAGCTCAAGCTCAAAAAATTGATTCGATTCGGAACGCGCTTTCACGACTCCGGCCTGACGCGGTTGCTGTCCCAGAGAGCGGCAGTCCGGAGGATCGGAAGGAAGGCGTGGTACGAACTCCAAAGCGGAACAGCTCAAACCACACGACTCCATTTAGACGAGAGGATAGTTCAGATATGAGAGCCGCCTCCCATGTTGCTGCTCGGTCCGCCAATTCACCCCGCAACGGGGATCCGGAAACCTATGAGCTGTCCTTGCCCGCCAAACACACGACTGCAGCACAGTATCTCCTCCTCTGGCCATCGATTGCCGCCTTAGTTCCGCCTGGTATATCGACCTCATACGTCATGGACGAGGAACGACAAAGAGGCCTCCTGCGGCTCTACGGCTGCGGAGAAGGCGAAGACAAAGGTGACGGGCATGAGGGAGCGCCCAGTCCTTCCGGCAGCTCATCTTCGGATGGACGTCGGCTGGGTGAAGAGAGGACTCCATCTTCCCATGGCGTCTGGGGCGTTGGTCAGCTGCATGCTGCGAGGTGGTCGGATCAGAGCCATCCGGCCCGAGAGCACCCCGGTGGTGTCAGCCCTTACGGAGGTCTGATGCTGGACTCGGATGCCGTAGATCGATATTTCCGGAGTTTCATGGATCACATCCACATACTTCACCCATTTCTCGAACCCAAGGTGCTGCGAAGAATGATTCACACTTTCAAAAGGAATTACAGCTGGGATTACCGTGCGACACAACCAGCATCAGTCGTTGGCGCCAAGAGGAAACGGGAAACCACCGAATCACCAAGCTCGGTGGATGACCAAAATACTCCAGACCATCTGGGAAATCACACTATACCGATAGCGTACAATCCCGGTGTTGGCTTACCACTCATCGAGCATTCCATCACCAACGCAATCGTGTTGCTTGTCATCGCACTGGGCAAGGTCACAGCGCATCGGGATCCGCTACCAGGTCCCGCCGCAACCAGAGCCATGCAGACCGCAACACCTCACAATACCACGTATTCGGATCTGCCGATGCCGATGCCCACGTCCGCTCCAACTTCTCCTTTCAACAATCAAAGGAACTTGAACCGCCACAATCACATGTACGCTTCAAGCCCGACCAATCCTCAGGGGAAGAACATGGATATAATCCCTGGGTTGGCTTACTTTGCGAAGGCCTCAGATATCATTGGAGAACACCCAGGCGGCAGTGAAGTATCACATGTCCAAGCATATCTGCTGGCAGGCCTGTACATGGGACAGCTTGCCCGTATTATACCCAGCTACTTTTACATTCAAAGGGCCTGCATGGCCGCACAGATTCTGATTGAATCGACCCCGTATACCTCAAAGTCCATGAAGCCGGCCCGCCGAAATCTCGTCAATTTTGCATTCTGGTCATGCTTGCAACTGGAGAGCGACATTGCCGCGGAGGTTGAATTACCTCTCAGCGGCATTACTCGATACGAGAGCTCTCAGCACAAGGACATGCCAACATTGCTCACCCTGGACAGAATACCCGAGTGTAATATGGACCATGATATTCTGCGATACTACTCGTACCAAATCCAGCTCCGCTTAACGATGAATAGCATTCACGCGACGCTTTACCACTCTCAGAAAAGTCAGAACACGAGACCCAGCGATACAATGATGTTGGCCTTGGGCGAAAATTTGGAAGATTGGAGAAAGATGTTGAACGAGTGGGATTGGGACGATGGCGACCACGAGAGCCCCAATATCAACATCGCGCGTATGAGAGGGAAGTATTATGGGGCCAAGTACATCATCTGGCGGCCAGCCCTCCAATACGCACTTCTGCAGACGGCGCCGGGGAAGAGAGACCCGATCTCAGAACCGTCTTCTGGAAACGGAGAGAGTTCGGAGTTCACATCACCAGCAATGCGTGATGCGCATATTCCGAATCGCCCGTCCCAGGAGCTGCCGACAATCAGCAGCCAACTCCTGGAAGGGTCTCAGGTTTGCGTCGAGGCTGCAATTCGTAGCACTACGGTATTCGATAAAGTGCCACGACGACTGGTTACCACCAACATTTTCGGCACCGTCCATGCGTAAGTGCTTTTGGAAACTCGCCTCTTCACGAGCGGTTAACTAACAAAGTGTAGGCAATGGGGTAACATGCTTGTGTTGTATGCAACGTACACCTCCAGCCATCCCTCGCTCAGCTCCCTTGTGAATGTCGACACATTAAAGAGACTACATGATCGCACGGTTAGGATTTTGCGGGAAAACGAAATGATCTCGCCGGTACTAGCCAAGGACCTGAAAATCTTGGAGTACGTCCGCAGGAAAGTCTTTCCCCCGACGAGCTCATCATTCACTCCGGCCAGCACTACTTCGAGCCTTTCTAGTCGATGAGTAGACCCGTCTCGCCCTAGAGCCTCGAGGGCGTTTCCCCTCGTCACGCCCAGGTTGTTGGATGGCGAGATGTACTTCCATCAGCGCCGTGGATCACGTGTAGCTGTAGCTACAACCCGATCCGCCCACACAATGATGGAGTTCGGGGAGTTGTCACCACCGCACAGGAGGGCGGGGGGATCCCGCCGCCCACTGAACCGAGATGGTTGTGCCCTAGGCGAAGGGGAGTGTCGTGCACTCGGGGAGGGCCGAACGAGATGAGCTAGCTAAAAAAAAATGATGAACATTTATACTTTATGCGCACATTGGATTAGGTGTTGAGCGCAGGACCACCCAAGCTAGTGGGTCACGTGAAATGGTCGAGTGCGGTAGTAAGCCTGTTTGATGCGCGTCCCCATTGTCTGTCGCAGCGACATTTCGGTAGGGCGCCTGCGACTCAGCCTCCCCCGGCGAGCACAAGTTCTTTCTTCTCTCCATTCGAACGTCTAGGACCTCCCTAGGACGGGCCATCCACGCACCACGGTGAGGTCATGCTATCCTCAGCTATCATACACACCAGGAATGTCAATGCTGGCAAGAAACAAGAAATTAAGCAAATGGCGATAGGCGAAGCCTTAGCCTCCTCGAGAAAGGCATGGCCAACACTCGAGGATTACGTGCGTGGTGGCCGAAACGAGGCGATCCTCCGACGTTCGACTTCCTCTCTTGTCGTCTCCCATAGCTCCATGCATCCTTGGCTCCTCGACCCCTCGGCGTTGGACGAAAAGCTGCAAGGCAGGCAAAAGCACGGGGCGAAACACGGTAGCTCAAAAAAAGATATCGGACGCGACGTTCAATGGAAGAAGTCGTGCTACAGTATCTAGGAAGGCGATCACTGCATCTAAGGTCACGCGACGGTGGCACACGGTCAGTCCAATCTCATCCGAGTTTCCACCAGTGATAACCGTTATCGGTCGACCCACGACAAGATATCGGACCCAGTCTGGGCTCTGGGACCGTGGGACAGTATCGAGCCAAATGTGAGATAAAGTCAAATGGATATCCAACGCCAAAAAGGATGAGAGAGGCCGACGAAGCGACCCATGCACTTTGTTCTCATTGATCGCCCCCTCAGACGAGAGGGAAGGAAATGCAGGTACACCTTAGAGAATCCTGACCTATGAGAGTCGTCGAAGGATCGAACGTTTTTCAAGTCGCAGTATGGGCGAGTGACGCGGCACCTGTCTTGCTGGTGATGGCCTCACATCGCTCCAGCGCAACATTGACCACAGCACCCCTTAAGGTTCGACCCAATTTCACCGACGTCGTCCGCCCTTTGGGCCTCCCAGACGAGCGATCAACCTCCTGTCCCCGACCCTTCGTGCGGAATGAAGGGCGAGACCGAATTTCCTGTATTCTGGTCCCCCGAGTCCAGGGACATTCCAATCATAATCCAGACCGTTCGACCTGGGCGAATTTCGTGGACAACCCACGACCATCGACACAGATAATGCTCGAGGGTCAAATAGAACAGACCGACCCATGGTGCTCTGCTCTGACACGCCGGGCCGCCAGGTCTCACCCGATCTCCTTCCCTCCCCCCTCGACACTTGACCCACGGCGTCGCTCCACCCATGTGCTACTATCTGTCCTACCTGTACCGAGAATGTGGACACGTCATCCTCGGCCAGACACCGCTCCAGGCATCGCCTCCTTGTGCCATCCAAACGTCCAACGCGTCCGGCATCGTCGCTCCGCCCCTGTGTTGCCACAGCGGTCACTTCCCCGCCACCCCAGGTGCCAAGTCCGATGGCTCGAGGTGCCTCCAACGGCTAACCCACCCACTGAAGTCGTATTGGGTCGACGGGCCTTGTCGGTCCTGCGAAAGGAACCGCGACGAACGCATCTCGAGGTTTGTCTTGAGCATGATCACCGAGACGCTGTCACGTGAACCGCTGATGGCGGCGCCGCGCAAACGGCGATCATGCTCAACAAGATCGAGACGTTGCGGCAATGACGCTCAGGGTTTCCATCCAGCGTGGGAAAGTCCACCTCCGTCCGGGCAGGCCGACGCCGATGGGCCAATCTCAACCTTCGACAATGCCTCAGGATCAGCCCCCAATAGACGGCCTCGGTAGCAGGTTCGGTGGTAGTCCACTATCGGCGGCGACCAGCACCAGACGCTCGAGTTCGGTGGGGAGAACGGGGTCAGGCTATCTCGCGCGGATCTAAACTTGAGAGGGGCAATGTCTACATCGTACAGGGCTATCTATCTATTTGAGTATTGTGACTAGCGGGAAGAGAATCGATCTGTGAGGTTCTGGTATCGAAGGCTTTTCGTACAGCACCACAAATCCGCTGGACGAAACCTTCCACCTCCCCAAGCACGCCGCCCAGGGTCAGAGCCGCGTGTGGCAACCGTTTCATGACCACCACCTCGGCTTCGACGCCGTAATCCTCCATCTTGGCCGCGTACCTACGTCCATCACTTTGGAGGATGTCTACCTCGGCGACGACAATCAGAGCGGGCGGTAGCTTCTGAAATTGCTCGGGGGAAGCGAATAAAGGGGACACCTCCCAGTGCAAGGTATCGGCATTTTGGAGGTACAATTCACGATAAAACAGCATCTTCTCCGCCGATAGACCGGGTGCTTTCTCAAACTTCTTCCAGCAGTCATTTGTGGAGGTGGTCGCCGTGTTGTCCGTGATGGGAACGAGGAGGACCTGGAACAGAATCGGCCCCCATTCCTTCATGATCGCCTTATGCACCGCCACCGCAGCAATATTCGCCCCGGCAGATTGACCCCCTACTACCACCTTCGTCAAGTCTAGGTGCAGACCACAATCCTTCTGTGACTTCACCCACAGCAATGTTTCCAACGAATCCTCAATCGCCGCCGGATGAGGATGGGCGGGAGCGAGCCTGATTCGAGTAAAGGAAAGTCAACGGTGCGCGGTGAGGAAACCCCGTCTGAAACGGCGCGAGGTCAACCAGAGAGCGGCCGAGAGTGACCTACCTATATTCTGTCATAATTACTACGGCGTTTGCCTCCATACATAGCCTAGTACACAAAGGGTTTTCGCTGTCCAGATCTCCAAGCATCCAACCCCCGCCGTGGAAGTAGATCACCACGGGCCAGCCCGGTGGTGGCCGATCGCCGAACGGCACAAAGTACCGTATCTGGAGGGCAGAGCCCTGCGACTCCTTCCTTTCGACAGAGACATCTTTACACTTACTAACCGAAATAGGGGCGATATCCCAGTGAATAGGAGAAGGAGGCGGTACGGGCCTCGACGCTGTAGGTGGTCGACGGTGGATCGGTACCTGGTGTCTTATGTGCTCATTGTAGTGTTTCACATACTGGGGGGACAGTTGTGGTACGAGATGGGGATCGAGTGGATAGTCTTCGTCCATTTCTGCATCTGAAAATGAAAGCGTTGGCCCAGAATATGGTGAGAAGAACGTAATACGGGAGTGTCGGTAGCTCAGGTACAGTAGAACGCAGGTCTGTGCTCTTAAACTTCCCTGTCCGTGCCAAGACAGTCAAGTCCCCTCACTGGTTGGGGATCTACAACGGCTCGCCTGTGCGACCTCTTTATGAAGCTCGAAGCCCGCATTGTATCGGCTGGGTTGAAGAGCTTGTTGTGCATCGAACGAACGGATAGGATGCGACGACTTGCTTGATCGATGAGGTCGTTTAAATCAACATCTTCCCCGCGGTCATAAATTGGGATCGATCCTTTTCAAATTGTCCTAATATAGTGTAACTTAGGACATCCGAACTTTCGGGTGCGGTTCCCCCCCTCTTTCCCCCCACCACGCACACGTATAGATCCGTTGGCAATTGAGATTGAAGTCACCGAGGCCGGTGGCCCCCTTACCTAGGTTGGGCATCCATGCCCCCAATCGGCACGTGAATGCCCAGTGTCTACGTATATTGCTTCCCGTAGATCGTGCAAAATGTGCGCTCCTCATCTCCGAGTGCTAGGACCCTCTGGAACAAGTGGGAGCACCTAGTGACCTGACTCGCGACTTGCAATGAGGAAATTGCGCTTCTGAGAACTCTGAAGACGAGCGCAGAGACCGGGATCCCTTGCCTGTCTCAAGTCTCGATCACGAGTTCTGATACGTACACAATCGGCTAGTTGCAGCCACCAGACTTGGAAATTCAGACGATATAATGGAACAACCGAAGCATAAATGAATTTTACTAATTTATATTGTTAGCTACGGCAGTAGGAAGTGTCCTATCTGATCCTCTGAATATGTTTGAAGCAAAAGCTCCAGGGAGATCTAAAGGGTGACAGCATAATTAAAAACTCGACCCGAAAACGTCTTAGCTCTTACTAAGTCTTCGTCAAAGATATGTTAACCACGACTCCAAGACCCCAGTTACTGTATTGTGATTGAATTACATCGCAAATCTTGGAGATACCATAATGACGGTCCCAAAGGTCGATCCGAAGAAGAATTCTAGGCCCTGCTCCCGAGGGATTTTTCGGTCTGTCTTCCTGTTGGCGGTACGCATTCCACCCTACATTCAGCAGCGGGAGGAGGCAGTGATCGAATTGCGAACACTTTTATAAAAGCCGGGGCGCTTCTCGATCTTGCTGACGCTGAGACATGAAGGGGATGCCTACTTGAGATACTACTTGCTTTTACTGCGCAACGTCCCAAAAACCAGGCGAGGCAGAAACGCCACAATGCTGGATTGTTGAGCTGGCTAGAGGCAATATTATAGCGCTCATTGTTGAGGTATAGTTGACCTGGATGAATTATGAGTAGATGGGTTCCTCCGAAGATGTAGTATATGGTCTGGTCGCAAGCATTCAGAAAGGCTTGTACACTGCTGTCACATTGGACGAGCTCGTTGGTCGGTGCTGAATCATGACTGTCGGGATATTGTTGTGGTATGAGGCTCAACCCGACTAACATAAGGTTGACGGAAAGTCTCATGAAATCATTCCGCACGCTTAGAAATGATGGGGATATATGCTCCTACATTAGCGAGGAAGTAGAAGAAGAACAATAACTATATGCTTCCACTGCCGTAATTCACAGGGGGTATAAGTTAGAGATCTAAGGTGGGTGATGGATCAACACATAAAGGGACAGGCTAGGTCCATGTAAAAATGTTGTGCAGCTGTCGACGCTCTCCAGTAGAATAGATTGTTGAGTCCGATAATACTGTACATGCCATGGAAAAGCCACGCATTTTTGACCCCAGGGAGGTATGTGACCGTGTTAGCTTGTGCCACAGTACGCTAGCAATTGTATACGAAATGATACGGTGGTTCTGATGTGATTGCGGTTACGATATGCAAATAATGGACTGGAAGATTGAATTGAAAGCGTCTTGCAATCTTATAACATGTCCGACTGCTCGTGGGCTACACGCCGGGGTTTAATTTTCATCCTCTTCACCCCCTTACACACCTCCTTGAAGATATCGTCAGCCTCTGTCTCAAACCTGGACAGCGCACTGTGATCCGCCTCGCCCGGGATCTGTTCTTCATGCTTCGTTTCGAGTACGGCAGAAAGCGAAACAATTGTGCAGCGGACCTCCAAAAAGTGTACACAGGACTAACTAGGTGCTGCTATAGCCATACTTGTTGTCTGATTTTCAACTTTGGCCAATAGTGAACAGCCCCGAATGCTTGAGTTTGACTTAATCACCGAATCGCTAGTTTACATCAATGGTGAGCACTTTTAATCCATCTAATACGAGGTTTGGCATCGCCGATAATTGGGAGATATTTCAGAATCAACCACTAACGTACATCTTAGGAAAATGGCCTCCACTAACGTCTCAGCTTCTGGTGGGAGAAAGTCGATGGGAGGGCAGTTTCGGGGAACAATTGTACGTATAGTAGGCGAGAAAGTAAAGTGTATCTGGTCGAGTTGAGGAAATGAACGTGTCTTGACGAATCCCAGTGAAAAACAGAAGTCGTTCTAACGTAATCCTCGCCTAGGACTGTGTGGCTGTTTCTGTGGCTGAGGCCGGGTTGGTTACTGGGGAGGGGAAGGAGTAATTAACTGTAGGGAGCAGTGCAAAGTCGAAAAAGGTGACCTCGGAAGAAATTAATGGTCGACGCCTCTAGAGCGAGGCCGGAAAACGAATGACTGCGTGAGAGCACTCGTCTCGCTTTAAATCACTGGGATTCACTTTATTTCCAAAATCTTGATCTTCTGAAGAAGCTGATCGCAGACCACCCGGATACCAGCTGCTGATAAATAGACGAGCATCGCATCACGGCGCTGCAGCAATGCCAGCCTTGGTCGGCACTTGAGCGTCATGGCGTCGCCTGAGGCCTGCCGTCGATGGGAGACCGCACGTGGTCGTTGCATGTGACGATAGGACCATCGTCCGTCCGCGATGCGTGGTTTCCACCCCCCGGCCCTCGGCGCTCGCGTGTCTCTTGAGAGCCATCTCGCGTTTTGGTTTGCCGCAATACTTGCGACAAGATCGCCTTCAGGTCCTCGAACTCCTGACGCTGCATCTCCAGCTGACTATAGATAATCTGGAGCTGCAGGGACATATTGCGCAGTTGCAAATCCTGCATCTCCTCCCGCTCCGTCGGCCCCGGTCTCCTTTTGGCGGCGTTGTGGCCCTCTTCGCTGGGGACGAACGGTGCATGTGACCTGACGTATTCGTACGGCTTGTCTGGCCTCTCCTGCGCCGAGGGCGCCGGCGCGATAGACGCCGGCGGCAGTATCTGTGTTCCCCAAAGCTCGGGCTGATGGGGGAGCTGCTGGCCGTGCGCACCGGAAGAAAACTTCGAGTTCCACGGAGCGGCGGCTGCCATCATCCCTGGATTTGTGTATACTCTAGGTGCCGCGTGGCTCAGAGTGTGCGCTTGTTTTGGGAGCTGGGCCCCGGGTTGCTCATTATACCGTGAGACGGGTTGGAAGCCGCGATCCGTCATTTCTGGAGTGGTTGTATCTCCTGTACACCATGGACGTTTAGTCATGCGTGGAAGGAATGAAGGCCAAGAGGGAATCAAGGGTCACGAGGGGGAGGTTGTTGCACCCGACACCGACCCTGTGCGGCAAAGTCGACTGAATATATAAGCAATTATGGGAACTTGGAAGCTCAGGGACAAAATTTCATGGCCCGACACCTTACCTTCGATTGGCCCCAGGGCGTCGCGGGGACCGAGGGCGCTGAGCCAATGTCTACACAATAACGTCTGGCGCGCAGAAGCGGGTTGGCACAATCTCGATGGTGTCGGGGAAGTCCTCTCCTGGTTACAGTACAAGACGGGGACACCGTACATTGGTTTGAATGTGGAGCGGGTCAGGGCCGAAATGATTCTCGTGGACTGATCGCGGGTGAAGGCGAAGAAGGCCCCCGACGACCGCATGGGAGGATTCTGCCCACTGTCCGCGTCCACCTTTCTCGTAGAAGGTGGACGGAAGCCAAGACGACTGAGACCATGGGCCTACAGGGGCACCCGTTCATATGCGACCAATGGGGCAATCAGACACTGAACCCACCGAACGTTGTGGGACGGTAAGATTTCCCAAGACGGACGGCGCCCAAAGTCTAAAATGCCCCTCAGCATACGCCTTTCCAACAACGACCTCCGAGACTAGACGGCCAATTACTTGGAATCAGGAGTCCAGACGTTTACAATTGAACGCCTAAAGTATTACAAATGCGACGCTAGAGTCAAAGCAGCCAATGATCGGCTTTATTTCGTCCCCAAAATGATCGTCGCACAATAGGTCAAATGTCATAGCGAGAAGCTCTGGGTCGGAGAAAATCCGGCGTTTTTCTGTCCCTTTTGTCTTGTCCCTGTCCTTGTTCGTCTTGTTCTTCGGCTGTTTGGTAGCTGATGGTGGTAATAATTCCAAACATTGATATTGCCGTTTCGAGGATGTCGAAAAGAGCAATGACGCCATCATAAACCTCCGTCTCGCGCGCTGGCTAACTCCGGAACTCAGTAAATAAAATGGCGCTTTTGCCAACCCATCTCGCATGGGCAAATGCTTTTGATAATGGTGGTCTCCCATAGCATCAGCTTCAAGTGGACCAGGAGACGCTTATTGCCCGGGCGTTTATGGTCCTACTTTGTTGAAAGGCTAGATCGATACACCGAGATTTTGAAGTAAATTTAACGACAAAAGATCTGAAAGGGAAGGTCAAGGGAAACTCGAAAAGGTATTTTAGATGGAGTAAGCTTATCACCATGTGGGGTGCATGTCACCGGCTGTAAAAACGCCCTTGCCCGAAATAGTAATAGGTAGGAACGGTGGTGGAAGGGGAACCTGCGTCGAAATGGCTGTCCCCTTCCTCGTGTCGCTGCAGCGACTTCATCACAGAGGCAGAGATGGCAGACCCCCATGACCCTGTGATGATGGCCTTGGCTCAGTCGAGGACTACCTCAAAGGGAACC